AAAAATAAAAAAATAAAATTTATTATTTAATTTATTAATTAGAACTTTTTTAACTTTTATAAATTTAAATATAATTTAATAATTTTTAAATGAAATAAAATAAGATATTATTTTTATAATTATTCTTTTAATAGTAAAATTTATTTATTAAAAAAATGTAAAATAATCAGTTAACTCAGAAATTATTAAACTATATAATAAAAAAACTATTTATATTTAATATTATTTATAATTTCATTAAATTCTATTTGGTTATTTATTTACTCTAATAATTTTAATTTATTAATATAAATATAAAAAATAGGATTTTTATTTAATAGTTTTAAAATATATTGATTTTAAATAATTTTATCTGAAATTGAACTTCAGATAGAATCGAATTTCAGTCACAAGGCGGAAATTGAGACATCTGAAATTAAACTTCAGATAGAATTGAATTTCAGTCATGAGGCCGTCTGAAATTAAGACATCTGAAATTAAACTTCAGATAGAATCGAATTTCAGTTACAAGGCCTTCTGAAATTGAGACATCTGAAATTGAACTTCAAATAGAATCTGAATTTCAATCACGAGAGTATCTGAAATTGAGACATCTGAAATTAAACTTCAGATAGATTTTGAATTTCGATCATAAGTTTATCTGAAATTGGAATATCTGAAATTAAATTTCAAATAATAAAATAATACATGTTTTTTTTTTGAAATATTAATTATTTTTTAATAAATAAATATATTAATAATATTTTTTTTTAATAAAATTTATATAATATAATTATAATATAATTTTATAGTTAACAATTATTTTAGATTTTTTTTATTTTTTTTTATATTATTTTTTAAATTATTTTTTTTTTACTAAATTCAATATCATTATGAACTTTTTTTTTATTTTATTATTTTTTTTAATATAATTATTAATTTTATAATTTTTTTTTTTTTAGATTAAAATTCTAAAATTAAGTTTTTTATTTTTATATTAGAATTTTAATTATTTTGATTATTTTTTTAATTAATTACTATCAATTTTGACAATTTAGTTATTTTGGTATTTAATGATTTAATTATTAAATTTATTATTATTTTAATTATTATAAAATATTTTCTATTTTAGCTTTTTAACTATTTTGATTATTTGATTATTTTGCTATTTTTATTTTGATTATTTTAATTACTTTATTTATTATATTAATCTTTTTTATATAAGTATAATTATATTTTTTATTTGAATATTTAGCTATAGTTATTTTTATTTTAATTATTATAATATGCTTTTCTATTTTATCTAATTAACTATTTTGATTATTCAAGTATTTGATTATTTTATTTATTAGTTTAAAATTTTAGCTATTATAATTATTATGACTATTTTCATTTTAGCTATTTAAATATTTTGATTATTTTAATTTATTTAGTTATTTTTACTATTTGATTGTTTTTCTGATTGTATTATTTATTTAAATTTTAGCTATATTTATATTTATTTTTATAATAAAAATTTTAAATAAAAAAATTTAATATAAAATTTATATATTAATTAATTAAATAATTTTTTTGAAAAAAAAATATAAAATTGTTTGGCTTAATTAATATAATAAAATTTTTTATTAATTATATTAATTATTATAATTTGTAAATATATATTATATTATTTTATATTTAATATATTAAAAGCAAAGATTTAAATATTAATTGTTTTATATAATTTTTTATAAAGTAATTTGATACTCAAAGTAAGTTAAAAATTAAATATTAAATTAAATTTAAATGATAAACAAAATTAGAAAAATAAAATACCAATCATTTATTATTATATAACTGGTTTTATCATTTAGGAAATTCTATTAAAAAAGTTTTTAATTAGTAATTTTTAATATTTAATAATATTCATTTGGTCTTGTAACTGAAATTCAGATTCTATCTGAAGTTCAATTTCTGATATCTCAATTCAAATGGTTTTGTGATCGAAATTCAGATTCTATCTATCTCAATTTCAGATGGTCTTGTGACTGAAATCCAATTCTATCTGAAGTTCAATTTCAGTTATCCCAATTTCAAACAACCTTGTATCTGAAATTGGAATTTAACTAAAATTAAATGTTATACAGTAGTTGACCAATAAGATTATGTCTGAAATTGGAATTCAGATAGCAAATTAGGATATCTGAAATTGGGAATTCCAATTTCAGTTAACTGATCTTCGGATCTCAATTTCAGAATCCAAAAAGTGTCTGAATTCCAACTTCAGACGAAAATCAATTTCAGTCACAACAGATATACTTAAACTTGAACTTAAATCCGATTTTAATCCTAAAGATCCTATGGATAATCCATTTTCCTCCTTTACCAC